ACTTACTCTTTCCAAATACTTCTCACAGTTGAAGGATAAGTCACGACCTACTCTCACGGAGGAGGACCGCAGAGACAAGTCCTTTAGCTAGCTGAGTTTTAATAAGAAGTTCTTTCTACGATTGTGAATTAGTGTACAGTTGAATTGATCTCATCAAGACTGGATTGCATAGGACCTGATCACTTGTAAACTCACTTGGAGACAAGGAAGAACTAAAGAGTTGCAACATTGCAAGGGAACGTCATAACAAGCCACCGAAGAGAGACTGGAAAATCACGATACACTGCAAGTAAGTCCTCATAGCTAGTACTCATTCTTGATTTCTCGGCTTATGTAGATGACGGACGGATAAAGTCCAACTACGGAAGCTTCCCGGACATACTCTTGAACAAGACCAGCTACAGACGCCACATTGGCTTCTCAATCCCTCCAACTATAAGTTGTTCCTGCCACAGATGGTGCACAGCTTCGCATAACCTCCATTTAGGCTTTCTTACGACCGATATTTAGAGGCAACTGCACACGTGTTAAGATAAACACAATAGCATTGCAGTGTTCGATCAGAGCACTACAATCACCATAACCTCTTAGTGATAATATTCAATAGATTATAACCTACTTCTTGTTACAGTAAATCATAATCTCATCAGTGACATGCAAAGAATAAGAAATTGATTATCCTGTAATTATGCAATGAATAGATATATCAACACCACAAGATTATTAAGAAATATAAATCATTTGTAATTTCAACAAGGTTAATAATTCCCATTGGAAATAAAGTAAAATAAATGAATCAAACAGCAATAATAAAGATATGTGTTAATTATTGAATCGATGCATTAATCCTTTACTTGCCCGGCAACCCCACACAACATCTAGTGGGTTTTTTGTTCTAAGTTGATTTTTACACGTTTGGCTGACGACTCAGTTTGTGGAATTATGTTCCGAACAAATTCGTATTATTTCTTAAGTTTTGTTATTGGAGACAAATATACATTATGTACAATCAAACAGGGTTACATTTTATTTAAATGTTGTATACATAAAGTGCAATTAAATAAGTTTGTCATTCGCAATATGAATAATCATTGACATTATAAGAGTGCACCTTTATGAAATTATATGTTAACATATTTTTATTATTACATGATCAAAGCTTACCAATGTTCTTTAATATTTAAATACAGTTAGTGTGTTTAATTTTTTTTATTTACAAGAAAATATATTAATTTGCGTAAGAAATACATAATTAATTGAAAATTAGTTGTATTATGTATAATGTAATAATTTAATCATTTTACTAATCAGAATTCTCATATAATAATTCACATAAATGTATAAATAACGTTCATTTGCGTTTACTTAATTTATAAGATATCGTTAATTAGTTAATAATGGTTAAAATGCTTGTATGTATAGAATGGTATATTTAATTCAAATTATAAACAATATTTATTTAAACAGTGTATAAGTTCATGCATATAAATTCTATCTAGTAAAATTAATTATCCATAATTTTGATTGCGAATTTAATGAATAATTTCAACAATAAAGAGATCATCACCAGTAAGTAAATAATAGAATTTTACTTTCAATTTACTATTTTATAGTGAAAATGTGTAATATAATTAATAATTTCATTTGCATTTGTATATATATATATATACGCAGGTCTCAAAGTTATAAAAGAATTATGTTAAAACAATAAAATTTAAATGAAGTGAAGAACAATCGGTATGTTAAAAAGTTTTTATTAATTTAAATAATGTCACTGTTTGAAAATTTGTGTATTTGATCCGATTTGAAGGATCAAATGAATT